CTGTCTGTCAGCAGTATTGTGTACAGTATATAGTTGACTCTTACCTGAATGAAAACAGGACATAAAGAAAGGGTTTCAGAAATCAATCACAGCTTTATTCCCTGCTTACAGGCTAGATAACTGGAGACTACTTTGAGTTTATTTCAATGCTGTTCTGACTTCCTGTGGTCATATGCGGGTTGTTTACACGAACCCATATTGAGCAGTATTTCTCACAGTGTGAACGTATGTACACAGCGGTCCCGCAGTGTTCCAGTTAGTTACACACTATTGTAACAGTCAGGTATACCTTAAAACTCTGGGCTTTATTCGATAAAATACATGTACATTCAATGCAAAATGCAAGAGTTTGATAAGTGTTATCCAGCCTTCATTCTTCCACTTGGAAGTCTAATAGACACAAAGGAGGGAGAGCTGGTAAAGGTGGAAGTTGGCACCAGGATAGACAGACAGGGTGATCATGTACATGAAGCATACAGAATACAATACGTCCATCAATCAGTCAAGCAACATCACTGGGAGCCTCAAGCTCCAGCCCACCTGCATTTAATTAAGGGTGTACCAGAACAGGCCTGCCACAGTACTTTCATTTTTCATCTTTCACACAATTCAGTAATTGCTTTAATTCATTCATTGATTATGAATAACAGACATTGACAAAAATAAAGTAGTTTTTAATTAGTGAGCGATACCTTTAAATACATTGGTACTAAACATATTCCAGATTAGTTTTTTGTGCTTAGTACTATAAATGTAAAAAGAATAACCTAAAAAATGAATTGGTAGAAATGTATTACAATATTTAATACTCTATAACTTTCTAGAGCACATACTACATGTAATATTCATTTTAATAAAATAAACAGTCTGACTATTAATGATGTATATTGTCCCCTATTAAGTGTTTATGAATGTAGATTGTGATTTTATACATTTTAGAACAACATTTTCAATTAAAAGGAAATGAAATGTTTCTGTTTTAAAATTAGAGCTGTACTGTAAAATACAGGACCGCAGACCACAGACAGTACCTTTTGCTCAAAGTCGGTGCTTCAGGGAAGACAGCAACCGCTGTCCAAAGTGTCTGAAATGACAAATCTTTGCATGAG